AGGTCAGAACAGGCCATCAAATGTCCTGGAACTGGAATTATGGATAGTTGGGAACCACCATGTGGGTCTGAGAACCAAACCTGGGTCCTCTTCGAGAGCAAGCTCTTAACCACAAGTCCCTACCTCAACTTTTAAAAAAGTGATGGGGGGACAGAGTCTCGTGCATCCCAGGCTGGATGACCTTGAACATGTGATCCTTCTGTCTCTACCTTCTGAGTGCTGGGATTACATGCAGGTTTATCCAGAGCTGGGAATCAAACCCAGGGCTTTGTGCACACTGAGCAAACACTTCACTACTGCTCTTCATCCCCAGGCCCCTCGATACATTTTAACAACTCTTAATCTTCAATTGATACATAAGTGTACACATGTAGGGGGTAGAGTGTGGGGCGTGGCATTTCAATCTTTAATGATTAGATCAGCGTGACCGGCATATCCATAAATTCAGATATAAATGATAAACCATTTCTCTGTGTTGAGAACATTCAAAACCCTCGACTAGTTATTATGAAATACATAATGTCATCAATGATAGTTGTCCAAATTTACTTTCGAACATTCACAGTCATCCCTCCAAACCAGCTTGTGCCTGTTTATGATGGTAGTGGTTGATCTATGGGCACTCCAAGCCCCTCTGTTTAACGAATAACAGTCGCACGTGGGCACATCACACCAAACATCGTGTAGGACTTTGGGTGTCACAGCCTACATAGGCTCTAACCTGTTGGCCCCTTTACTCTGCATAGGGTCAGAGATGGGGATCCCTATGTGTGATTTTCCCACCGTTAGATGGGGAGACCCCTGACCAGGGAAGCCCCGGTCAAAGGGACCCTGAGTAACTGCTTCCCTGATGAGACCCTCTGACTCAGGCCAGGGCTCCTCAGCATCCTCGTTGGAATCACCTGACACCAGCAGCTGCCCAACCCCTGGCCTCAAACGGGTTGGGCAGCATTCACTTCCCTGCGCAGTCCTCCCGACCTGCTCAGTCATTAGGAAATGCCTCCACAGCCGGGACAGTGACAGCAGCTGTCAGCCCAGTGCCTCTGGGTGGCTCCATCTGCTCTGTGGAGACGGAAAGACGGACACCACTCAGGTACCAGTCAAAGTGTGTGCGGGTGGGGGTGGGGGGATTCTGGCTGGGGTGGAGGAAGGAGCGGGGCGATGCTGTGAACTGGAAAGATGTGCGAGAGAAGGGAGACAGAAAGCAAATGTGTGTGTTGCTTATGGGTGGGGAAGCAGTCAGCTGGAACTGCCCAACTTGCACCAGGGCTCCGGGAGGGAACCTCCGGTGTCTAGAAGTAGCCCTCTGTCTCGTGGCAGAGGGGGATCCTTAGGGGGGTGACACTTGGTCCTCATCTCTATCCTGGAAATATGATGTTTCTGTAAAGAAGCATGGGTACAGGAGCCTCACGAGGTTGGCTCCCTTCAGCCAACCACTGTCTTCTCCTCCCTTCATAAATGGCTAGAGGGACAGCCTTGTATAGGGTCACTCGAGAAACGGGGGTAGTCACTTTTCTTCTGGGGCTGCATCAGCTACTCAAGTCTGAAAGGTCCTCCATGGAGGCCTATCTGAACCCCAGTAGAGACAGCGATACATCCTATGGGCTGTCAAGCTAAGTCGTCCTGAGTTCGAGTCTTAGGTCTTCCCTATACTGGTATTAGGACTTTGACAAAGTTACTGGAGCCCTAAGCCTCAGGTTCCTCGTCTGTAAAATGGAGATAATTCCTACCTCCCAAACTTGTTGTCAGGATTCGGTGAGGAAGGGATTCGAAATGCCAAACATGTAATTAGTGGTCAATAAACGGCCGCTGTTATAATTATTTATTACTAACTCAACACTGGTCTCACTTTAGCCAGGAAGACTTCTCAGTCCTCCCCTTGCCCCGGGTTCCTAAGGCGCCGGGGTGGATGTCTTTGGTATAGAACGCTTTCCAATGGTACTTAGCTAGCCTGTGCCCCCACTACAGCATGCTCCTAGTGTTGGTCTGTTGTGCTGTCTGTCCCACACCCCAGCTCTGAAGACAGAGTCAGGCCCCCTAGAGCATTCAGCATGGACAGCACGGACGGAATGGAGAGAAAGGAGGAACTAAGGAGGGAGGGGCCAGGAAAACGCCGAGAACTGAAGTTGAGAGAATGGGGGACATGCACGGCCCAAGCATGAATGGTGTGGCTCTCCTGAGGCACGTGAATCTGAGAGGTTCCGGTGTGTAACCCAGATGTCTTTGACACTCCCTGGACTGCCTTTTGACTTTTCCTAGAACTCAGAGAAGAAGCAAACGCCTCCTCCCCCAGTCAGCCCTAGCATGACTCCTGACCTGGCTAACGTCTACTCACCCAGTCTATCTATCAACAGGGCCTAATAACGTTCTCTGCATCATCCACGAATCTTTCTTCTCTTCTCTCTTTCTGTCACTGCCAGGTGACCTTGAGTCACACACATACCCCTCCCCTTCTCTAAAGCTGAATATCCTAATTTAGAAAGCTAGATGTTTTGACTAAACGATACTAAACCCTGTCTTCCTCCTCATATTCTTTTATTCACACTAGTTTTCTCGCCTACCTTGAACTCCATTTCTCAGTTATCCAAACAACTTATGTTACTGGTCATCGATCCTCCTCTAAAAAAATCTATTAAAAACACAACTCATACCCAAGCATGGTGGTCCATGCCTGAAACCAGTGAGTAGAGGCAGGAGGGACCAAGAGTCCAAGTCAGCCTTAGCTATAGAGTCTAGTTCCATGCCAACCCGGGCTACATGAGACCCTGTCTCCAAGAAACAAGAAAGAAAGAAAAAGAAAACTCATCCATGTCCGTTAGGCTTCATGGAGGATTTTGTAATCTCTCTTTATCCCCAGTGTACAATCTCAGTGTTTGGCAAATAGCTGTTGAAATCTGGTGGGTGGACAGATGGACAAATGAGCAGATGGAAGGAGTCGCCACTGTATCTCCTGGGGAGTTGGTTATACGGTGCAGAGGAACAGTTTGTGTTGTTGTTGGTGTTGTTGGTGGTGTTGATCATCCTGATAGCAGCCCGTTCGTTCCATTAAGACTTTGCCCGTCTATAAGGAAACAAAGCGGAGAATTTGCTATCGCTGTCCTAACTCACCCCCTGCCCGTGGTGTCCCATCTGTTGTCATCTTGTCTGCTTATTCTACTTTGAGAAGAGCTGACCTTTGTCAAGGGGTGTGACTCTGCAAACAAGATCCGTGACAGGGGTCTCCAGGCCCCCTCCAGGAGGAAAGGGAGGATTTGAGCTGTCCTGGCACTGACGTTCTCCCTCGTTACCGAGCACTTACTGTGTGTCCTGCTCTTCACTCGCCAATGCCACCGCCAGTTGTGGGAGGAAGGGGGCACGCCTGTCCATCTCATCTTTTCTGTTGTTTTGTTGAAACAGGCCCCTCACTCTGTAGCCCTGACTGTCCTGGAACTCAGTATGTGAAAGGCATGGACCACCATGTCCAGCTCTCAGTCTCATTCTACAGAGAAACTGGGGCTCGGATGTTAACAGGGAGCAGTGGCTGTTGATAGATAATAATACAACAGAAAAGACATTCAACCCATTCTACCATCTGAGTGCTGGACTCCCATCTCCCAGCCTGGAGGCCACATTAGCCACCTTAGAGACCAAAGACACCTCCACGAAGATTTGGGACTGTTTCTATGGCTTCAGGTCCCATCACCACTACCTCTACCCTTTAAAAAATGTTTTAAATATTAATGCATTTTCAACTCAACAGAGGGGATTTTTAACTAAACAAAGGGAGGGAAGTATGAGTAGTTCCAAAAAGATTTGTGATCTTTATCGATTCTTCCTCCCGGTAGCTAATCCTGTTCCTACCATGTCGTCTGTCAGACCTCAGGGCAGCCATGCAGTCCTCAGTGAATCTTGGGGTCATTGGTCCTTGTCACTGATGGTACCATGTATCAGAAGCATTTTGGTTCTTCCCCAAAAGGCTGTTCTGGATACGTTTAGGCTACACAGTTGCGATCACCACACATCCAAGCAGATGTTCCCCTTCAGAGTCACCCACAGTCCTGCTGAGAGAGTTGCTCGGTCTCCCGTTTCCTCTCGGAGCGGTTTGAAACCCTCTGGGAACTTCAGAGTGACTCCATAGCTTTGATTTCAAACACTGTGTAGACTCTCACCACTCATTTTTCACCAGATCAGACCTCAGTGATTTTGCCCATTTCCAAAACATCAGACACATCCTCCAAGAGTGAAAATCTACTTTTACTGAGGCTGATCCGAATCTTCTGCCCACCTCTGGTCACCACACAAGGAGAATCTGAAGAATGATTGGACATGGCTGGTGTGTGACCACTCAGGGCCCAGCAGGTATTTGCATGTGTAAATTCTGAGCTTTATTATTTTTTTAAATTGCTTTATGGTTACTACTGCCACTGGAAACAGAATTGCGGAAGTGATGGTAGGAGACATGGGATCCTAGCTCAGTCACAGATCAGCCAAGCCCCGCTGAGGGAGAAGCTTGAAGAATAGTACATGTAGTATGTAGTGTAGACCCAAACTAAACCCTGACTAGGGCTGCCTATGCATCTGGCCATGTATCTCCTCAGCCCCTATTTGCCCCCGGGGGGGGGGGGGCAGGTCAGTCCTTGAATCAGGAAGAGGTGAGGTGATGACGTCAACAGTGCTTGTCATAGCTGTGGAGGCATCGGGTACCTCAGGTATTCATCCCACTCCACACACTTCCTACCCAAGCCTAGCACTGTTGGGATCTTACCTGTTTCCTGCTGCCAGCCCCAGGAGAACCTGCACAACCCCTCTATGGATCCTAGGCCCTACGTCTTAGTTTGACCCAGGTAGGCCTCCAAGGAGAGCCAGAAAAGAGTGGGAGAAAGCAACAGGAGAAAGAACGGGTGGAGAGGGGATGTGAGCGGGAGTCAGGAAGGGAGGGAAAGAAGGAGAAACTCCCAGATGTTCACAGCCTTTCCTTCTCCCTCCCGTCCCCAGCTGAAGCCTGCTCTCTCTGAGGGGCCATGTCAGAAGGGGAGAGCAAGGACAGTTCGGGCAGCGAGTGCCCTGTGTGCTACGAGAAGTTCCGGGATCTGGAGGGCGCCAGCCGGACCCTGAGCTGCGGCCATGTGTTCTGCCACGACTGCTTGGTCAAGTACCTGCTCTCCACCCGGGTGGATGGACAGGTGCAGAGGACTATTGTCTGCCCCATCTGCCGCTACGTCACCTTCCTCAGCAAAAAGAGCTCCCGCTGGCCCTCCATGCTGGACAAGAGCTCACAGACCCTGACCGTGCCCGTGGGCCTGCCCTCTATGCCCTCACCGGACCGTGGGGGCCACACAAACCCCCTGGCTGTCTCCCAGCAGGTCTGGAGACAATCGCCAAGCCAGGGGGCTCAGCTCCCCCTGGACCTGCTGCCCACCCTGCCCCGAGAGTCACAGATCTTCATCATCAGCCGCCATGGGATGCCACTGGGGGAACAGGACAGTGTGCTGCCCCGACGCAGCCTGGCGGAGATCTCCGAGGCGTCCCCAGCTCCCAGCGCCACCCGCTCCTTCTGCTGCAGGTCTCGGGCCCTTCTGCTCATCACCCTCATCGCCGTGGTGGCCGTGGTAGCTGCCATCCTGCCCTGGGTGCTGCTGGTGAGGAAGCAGGCTTGAGTGGCGGCATGCAGAGGACAGAGGAGCGAGGCCCGGCCTCGAAGCTGTGCTCCGTGCTGCGCAGGCCATGGCTTGGGAGAGGGTGGAGGGTCCCAGTGCAGCCCTGGTACAAGCAAGCTCCCAAGGGAGGTGCTAGGCTCAGAGTGGGTGGGGCTAAATTGGAAGTTTAAGGGCTTTGTCTCCAGCCTTTCCATCCCTTGTCAGCGAGGGCTTTGGGATGCGGAGGGGCAGAGATCCTCCTAGGCTAGCGCTGAACCGAGCAGCTGACTCCCCAGGTGTGGCCTCATGAGACTCCCCAATAAGCACCTCTTCTCTAGGCTGGAACTAAGCAAGCTAGAAGGTGGGTGGCCACTGCCCTCCTCTAGGGTTACAGACTTTACCTGCCAAGCAACCAAGCTAAAGCCAGGTAGACCTTCTAGGTATAAGGAAGTTCTGCTGACCGGCCCTGCCGAGTGGGGCCCCATGGAAGGCCTCTTCCAGGCCAGAACTCCCTCAGAGGATTCTCTACTGTGCTCTCAGGAACAAACAGAAGTTGATACAGGGTCCCAACTCCAGTTTCCCGGCCTCTTAGCTCCAAATATGACCCTCAAGCATCGCGCTGCTAAGTCTTCTTGTCTCCAACCCACCATCTTGAAAGGTCTTCTTTGAGGGAGAAGATGATCTCAGGACCGGGGAGGGAGGTGAGGGGCAACAGGAAAAGGGGTTTCTGGGTAGTCAAGATCACAACAGGGGACGACGTGAAAGAGGCCACGGCAGGCAGAACGGCCACAGAGGCGGGGTTTCTGCAAACCTCCTCCTGCCCAAGGAGCAGACCTGATTTTGAGTCTTGGGGTTCTCAAGGGTAAAATAAAAGGCAAGGGGTGGAGGGGACGCCCTACAGGTGAGACTTGAGTCAGCTGAGAGCTATGTGAGCAAATTAACCCCTGGGGGCTCCCGCCTCCCTCCCTGCCAAGTCCACCTCCTCATGACCCAACCACTCATTAGAGGCCACACCAGCTGGGCCAGTTTCCCAGGTGGATTCTCGAGGGCTGAGCTGGGTGAGGAAGGGTGGGGAAGAAAACACATGTGCTCGTCAGTGACACTGCTGTCTCAACAAATGCTGAGGGCCAGGCGCCGCACGATGGAGTGGCTGGGTACCTCACTGACGAAGCCTATAAGGAAAGCCTCAGAGTGGGTCCTCTCTTGAGGAAGCTAGTGCCTTCTGACTGAAAACAACAGGGACCTCCAGCTACTGTCACAAATAGGAGGGGGTTGGCATTCAGGGTGTGCCAGTAGCTAAGCCCATCTGCCACTTATACCCTTCTCCTCAGAAGTTTACTGTCTGTGTGGAAAGAAAGAACTCTTAGCTAGTTCTCCGATGTCTGCATGGTTGACATCTGGGGGCCATTAGGGAAGCGGCGGCTCATCCTACAGGGGATGTATGTGACAAAGCAGAGCTGCTTTAGGGTACTCACCAGCTGCTTCGTACGCCTTTTAAGACTAGAGAACACAGGTGCTGTGTGCATGTGGAGGGAACACGTAGATTGTGGGAGGTGGACAATATTTATTCGAGAAACAAAAGGAACATGACCTTGCAGTCTTGGGAGTCGGCGTCCACCTCGGCAGGCTGTGCTAACCAGTGTCATGAGCTTCTAGGGAACTGATTCAAGGCCTCTCAGATTCTGTCGTGTTTGCCGAGTCTTTTCCAAACTACCTGTGATGTTTTCATATTGTTCAGCTGCCACTTGTAGAAGCTGCTTCTTTCGTTTTCAACAAAAGGCCTAAAGCTATTTTTAAAATAAAAGTATATATTTTCTCAGAGTCCAGAGGCTTTGCAATGTGTGTAGACTCGTGAATGATTCTCTAGACTGAATATTCAGATCCCAAAACCCCTGGGACACTGACACTCACTTGTAAAAGAAATGGAAATCAAAACCAATGGCCTCCGTTTACCAGTTAGCTTATTAAATCCTGCTCTGCCAGTGAGTGAGGCTGGGGGTGGCGGCAGCAGATGAACTGGTGGTGGGAATGAATGTTTGGAAAGCCTTATCAAATGAAATCTGACACATATCACTCAATTTCCACTTTGGCCCAGCAATTTGTGTTCTAGAAATGTGTCTTCTTGGTCCAGCTGTCTAGATGGGTGGTGGCTTACACACAATGCTATATAATTGTGGTTGTATTTGTAGTAACAAAGGGTTAGAAAAACCCGAAGTGATCATCAACAGCCACGTGTTATTAACCTTGAGGTCCAGGGCCTGCAGTCCTAAAGAGGCAAGCCAGGCACAGGACACTGGGTCCTGGACACTATGATGTATGTGGAAAGGGGAATAAATAAATATATTCCAGCCGTAAGGTGGTGCACACCTTTAATCCCAGCACTTGGGAGGCAGAGGCAGGCGGATCTCTGTGAGTTCCAGGACAGCCTGGTCTACAGAGTGAGTTCCAGGACAGCCAGGACTGTTAACACCAAGGTTTCTGTTACACCAAGAAACCCTGTCTCAAAAAAACAAAACACAAAACAAAACAAAATCCTGCTTGTTTATATGTGCATTACCTGGGGAAAATAGAAAAAAAAAAAGAAAACAACTGATATAATGATTAATCATGGAAAGGGATGAGAAATTGACGGGATGGAAGACCTCACTTTGTCTTTTATGATTTTGGACTTTTAAGTCAAGCAAATGTTTATTCAGAACCTGAATAAAGGCCTGAGAGGATAGCTCAGTGGTAGAGAAAGCGCTTAGCAGGAGATTGACCCTGGGTTCAACACCTATCACCAAAAAGAAAGAAAAATAAATAAAATACAATTGAAAAATAATCAATACTACAGATAGTCTTTAGTGAACACTCCTCTTTCCCAGATGGGAGACCATCCCAAGAATATTTGAGGGCCGGAGAAATGGCTCTTACTGTTCTTCCAGAATACATGTGTTTCATCCCCAGCACCCACACAGTGGTTCACAGTCGTCGTCGGTAACTCCAACTCCAGGGGATTTGATGCCCTCTTCTGGTCTCCATGGGCACTAGACATACCATGTGATGTACACTGCATGTAGCAGGCCAAACACTCATACACTACATTAATAAGATTGTAAAGTGCCAGCCTGGTCTCCAAAGCGAGTTCCAGGAAAGGCGCAAAGCTACACAGAGAAACCCTGTCTCGAAAAACCAAAAAAAAAAAAAAAAAAAAAAAAAAAAGATTGTAAAGTGGAGCCAGAGAGACAGCACAGCAGTTAAGAGCAATGGCTCCTCTTCTGGAAGACCCAGATTCAACTCCCAGCACCCACAAGGCTGCTCACAACCATCTAGAACTCCAGTCCCAGGGCTTCCGACACCCTCTTCGGGTCTCCACAGGCACCAGGCATGCACATGTTGCATAAAGATATATGTGCAGGCAAAACATATACTGTAGTGGGTAGCCATTCCAGCTTTGATCTGGAAGTTCCAACCCCCCATTGAGGGTTCGGTAACTGTCACGCCTACAAGGCAGGGCCAAGAGATGCGTGGGACTCTTGGTTCCTGGACCCTGGACACTGGAGGTAGACCGAGCAGAGTTCTCCAGAGAACACGACCGGACTGCGCCAGGCCTTTCTCAGACTCTGTAACCTATCCATTCACTTGTAAGTTATCCCACAAAATAAACCTCCCTTTTAACTACGTGGAGTGGCCTTAATAATTTCACCAATAATATACACATAAAATAAATATTCAAAATTACAAATAACTTTAAAAAGAACACTTGAGCCCTGCCAAAGCACTGGTCCTATGGTTTAAGAGTGTCGGGTACTCGCTCTGTAGGGCTGCTTCGTCTGATTTGGACACATGACGTCTTCTCATAACAGGTACCAAGAAGTACAAAAAATGTTTCATCTTGATGGTGTTCCTAAATTCTTGTGGATTTCTTTGGGTCCCATCATTCAATATGTTTGGTTTGTTTGTTTGTTTGTTTTGGTTTTTCGAGACTGGGCTTCTTTGTGTAGCCTTGACTGTCCTGGAACTCGCTCTGTAGACCAGGTTAGCCTCCAACTCACAAGAGATCCACCTGCCTCTGCCTCCTGAGTGCTGGGATTAAAGGCATCCGCAGCCGCCGCCGCCGCCGCCGCCGCCGCCACCACCACCACCACCATCACACCACCCCACCCCCACCCCGGCTTCAATGTGTTTGCTTTGATTCCCCCTTTCTCTTCTTTTCCTTATTTTCCTAAATTTTTGTATCACTTCAGCAACTATCTTGGGAAAGGTAGCTGCTTAAAGAATAGGAAGATAAGATTTGACAGGTAAATAGATAGAACATAGAACTTGCTTCCCCGGCTTGACTCTCCAGAAACAATGAAAAGACACTTTCCTGCACCCTACCTCAGGTGAACTGACTGTTGCTGTATTTCCTACATACACCGCATCCCATCTTCTTCCTGGGACCATTGTATTATGTCTCTTTGCTGCCTTGTGTCTCCTCCTTCTGGGCAAAGTGCTCCTTCGGGGGAGGCTAGAGCTTACAGAACTGGGCACAGAATTTAGTAAATAGTGAGCGCTACATAAAGGATAAGAGTTACATAAAAAATAAAATTTGTGTAATGCATACCTGCAGAATGAATATGGTGCCTTGGTGTCTAGAAAAACACACATAGTTCAATTTAGGTGTGAAATTTGGATAAAAATCCCTGCTTCGATGCATCTCATCTTTACAAAGACCTGCTTCAAAATGATCCTAGAGCATCAATTTAAAGGATCTTTCTGGTCCAGGAAGGAGGAGAAGACAGAAGGTGGAGCCAGGACACCAACAGGCACTGGCTGTGATAAGCAGCCTATAAGACTGTAACTGGGCTCCTGGCAATTTGCATCTCTGTGCGGATCACAGAGATCCACCTGTCTCTGCCTCCTGAGTGCTGGGATTAAAGGCCTGCACCACCACCGCCCAGCTCTTCCTGAAAGCAAGCTAGTGAGTCTGAAAAGGAGGAAGGGCAGGAGCTGTGGGCATTCCCTAAGGGCCCCAGAACCCGGGGCTTCTCTCTAAATGCCTCTTTCTTTAGCCACAGAACCTAGTTCCTGAAAAAAAAAAAAAAAGGCCATCTGCTTCTCACCTCCTCGCCTCATCCTTTCCCTCAAGCTATCCCACTGCCTCGTGGAGCTAATTTTAGCATTCTTCAAAACTCAGTCAGGGATCTCTGTGAGTTCGAGGCCAGCCTGGGCTACCAAGTGAGTTACAGGAAAGGCGTAAAGCTACACAGAGAAACCCTGTCTCGAGAAAAAAAAAAAAAAGCCTCAGTCAGGGCTGGCCTCACCCAGGAAGTCTGCCTGACCCCAGAGCTAAGGGCAGCTGGCTCCAGTTTCCTGTGATCCTGAACTTGCTGCTTCCCATGTCTATCTACCTCTTAGATCATGACTTCCTGCAAGAACAAATCTG